GAAACCTATTTAACCCATTAGCCGCTGGTGTTGCGTTGACGCAACGGTCAAAATAAATGCGTATATAAATATAACTAACTACCTAAGATATTTTATACCAGCAGATGATTTTGTGTAGGGAATATTATGAAGATTATTTCTGTAAAAAAATATTTGCCTTCAACAATCTTTTTGTTTATAATAATTAATCTTATATTTTAAGCAAAATTTTCGACCGGGTATTTTTGCTGAAAATATTTAACGAAAGAATCGCCGTCTTTATGAGTCATCCATTTTTAGTCAAGGTCACCGTTTATCAGAACATTACATCAGTCAGATGTTTATATTTGTGTTGGGGAGGAAGGGAAAACAGGTGTTGTGTTGACGCAACGTCAGCAGGAAACGGGTTGTCAATCTCCTTTTTCACTCATTCCTTTCGATGTTCTGGGTTCATGTTCTGGTTGTTTAAAAATGTCTAGAACGAGGTATCTTACATTAGAAGAAGCCCTTCAAAGATTTTTTGATGAAGAAACAAATGATGATAATGTTAATAATGACCAGAATGAAACTGATAATGTTGTTTTTCCCCCAGAAATTGCAGCGGCTAGTGACGAAGAAGAAAGGAATGGCAATGTTTTAAATAATGATAATGATATTTTACCAAATGACTGCTGGGGAAGTTGAAATTCACGTAAGAAGTAAGTTTCAGCCTTCTAAATGCATTTATAGTCATACTAAAAAGTTTAAAAAGCAGAAGACTGAAATCTTGAAGTGGATAAAAAAGGAACTTTTAGTTATTCTCAGGAAGAACATGAAGAAAGAAATAGAAGAGAAATTATAAAAGACAAAACACAAGGTAAAACTAGTGCACAGATTTTCGATTTTCTTTTTGGTTTAGACATTTACTCTCTTCTCGTTGAACAGACAAATATATACGCTCAGGAAAAAAAAAAAAAAAAAAGTCCAGAATTTATTGCATCTGAAGCCTATATGAGATGATTTATTGGAAAATTATTGCTTACAGGATATCATTCTTTACCTCAAGAAAAAATGTATTGGTCTTTTGATAAGGACATTTCTGTTCCTGTTGTACAAGAATTGATATCACGTTTACAGTACAGGAATATGAAGCAGAATTTGCATTTGACAATAGTCAAATTGACAATACTGCTAAATTATATGAGGTGAGACCGTATCTAAACTTACTACATATCAACACTTTTTACTACTGGAAATATAAAATCTCTTTTAGATTTCAAACGCGAGAATGCATTATTCCTTTTGCAAACTCCTATTGAGAATGTAGAATTGGCCAGAAATAGATCAGCAACAGGAAGACCTAGTAAATTCAGCATTCGAAAATGCATTGCATGGAGATGGTAGACATTTTATCATAAAAGTCTGTTGATAACAAAAGACTTTGTTGTAAAGAATACCATAGCCAGACTGTTTATAGATGGAAAGTATGTAATGTAGCTTTACATCATGATCGTAATCAAGCTTTACATGCTTGAATCTTTCAAATGAAATAATCTGTATTTGTAAAAGAAATACAATGTATATTTTAATATTAAATTAATTACAAGTAAAGTGATTTGTAGATTTATGAAATGTTATACAGCTAAAAAGTAATCCTGCTCCCCACTCAAAAGAAACATCACACGAGTACAATTCTACTCACTAAACATCCGTAGTCTTATTTTGCTGACATTGCGCGAACGCAACACTCGCTTTTTCCACAGGGAAAAGCATTTTTTAAAAAATTTTCAATGTAAATTTATGTTATAAATGCTTAATTTAATATTTGTTATTATTTTCATGAGAAAAGAAACATTCCTTGTAGTTTTGGCGGTTAATGGGTTTGGTACTTAACGCTTTCCTTTTCTAACTTTCTTGTACGAAGTAAAGAAAATATCTAACCGGGAAAAATTTCGGTATCATGTTTCAACGAAAATACTCATTTTGACTGCTCTCGAAACAAATTTCAAAGTGGCATCTGTTCGTACGGACAAATTAAAGGACTCTTTTTTCCGAACGGATTGTAAAATGGATTCAGAAGAGACGTTTTCGTGACGACTTGACGACTGTACATACACTGCCGGGTAAAAAAAAAAAAAAGACATTTTTATTTCTCCAGTTCTACTGAGACGATTAACGAAATTCAACAATTCGTTCTTCATGTCTTGAAAGCACGACTTAGGATATGTGTTAGATTTATATATAACACTGCTTTAATATAGGTATTTTGACACAAAATCGGACTTTTTCTGAAATGACATACCAATTGTTTTCCATATTTCGATTCTACGGCTCAAATTATGCCAAACTTTGCCAATTTTTGTAAAAATCCCACGAGTAGTTTTTAAAAAATTAGCTCTGAAAATTTTAGCTCCTCTGTTAATTGAATTTGATATATATTTATTAATATATCTTTTTTTATAATTTTTAATAATCCCGAACAATAAGCTGTCACTCTGTCGTTTTTTGTTTTCGTTAGCAACAATTTATCGCGCAAAAGGTATAAAATTTAAATCTTGTGTGAATTTTGGGACACCCTTCGCTTTTCACGTACGTAAATTTCTGTAAATTCTGAATGAATTTTGATTCAAAACTCTTTATTATTCGTAGTATTACTTTGAATATATGAAACTGAACTCTAATACTTTTATATTGTTCACAGAGAGTTTCAAAATTAATTAATTCATTAAGAAACAAAGATGGTTATGTCGAGTAGGAATGCTGTTTCAAGAGTACAATTTGTTGGGTGACCTACGGAAAACTAAGTATTTTTAAATACATTGCATTATCGCAATTTTTAAAATTTTATTCATAATGCTATGCATCGTTTTTAATTAAGCAAATGATTTATAATTAGGATTAAAAATACAAGTTAAAGAAATCTACATGTAATGAAAACATGTTAATAAACCTGATGTTATAAATTGCTGAGTGATATGACATCATTCTTGCTACAAATGTTTCGTTATATTACAACCAAATGTCACAGCTCCATTCATGAAGTCTCAATTCAACATTTTTTACTATTAAGTTCGTTTGTTAATGTTTTTAGTAGTAGGGAGTTTGATTACTCATGCAAAGTTGTTTGCTGCTTCATTAAGCTTTTCAGTATCCGTGCCATTTCTTGCGTTTTTAAACATGCAGTATCTAATTTTTCAGTCAGATTTTAATCATTTCCTTTGTGCTACTGTCATTTTCTCATTTGTACTAAAAGATGAATCAATCATCTGGTTAAATTATCTATTAAAACTCCCTGGTCTTGAGTATTGGCCCATCATAAACTGATTGCCTAAGATCACCGAACCTACTAGTTTGTACTAAGCTAATTTCCTAGCTGGAGAAGTTAAATGCATGGGAATTTCACCTTCTCCAGTAATCTTTTCTATTTATCTGTAAGTAACGTGAGTGCGAATAAATTTTCCGCAGAAAGTCGCTTACAGAAGCACTCTTTAGGTAAACAGATTTGCAGTGATTTACGTAGTAATCCGTGTATGGGTTTGGAGGAGTTTGAAACAAGAATACTTTAAATAAATCGTGAGCTTTCCTCGGATATGAGCAAGGAATTCTTGAATAATAGGCTCGGTATGCTAATCTTTAAGCATGGAGGAATGGAAGGCATGCTTTTAATTGCTTACAAGTTTACTGTTGATTAACTGAAATTAGTAAGTCTAATTTGGCTTTAGTATTTAATCAAACATAATTTAATTTCATTTTTTTTAATTTTACAGGAATTAAAAAAGTGCTATCGTTTCTTATGTTGATTTAACTTAGTGTGTGGAATATGCTATCTACAAAGAACTGTCACAAAACTGTCGCTTCTTTATTCTGAAGCGACGGTGAATGTTTCTAGTCACCATAGTGAATAAAAAAGTAGTGGGAAACTTAGAAACTCGATCCCTTTGAATATGTTACATTACAATGCTTATTTTGTCATTTTAAATTGCTATAACATTTATTTTAGTTTTTGAAAGTAAAAATTCTGAGTTTCTAAGATCTAGCACGCTTAGCTATCATGAAATGTAACTAGATCTATCTAAGCGTTGGTTTTTGGGAATTCTCGCACAGGCTTGAAGATGAAGACAACCAGGCAAAGAGTATAAAAGACCCTTTTATTGAACTTAAAATATTTAGCAGTTGCCACGGAGTTGCGTGCTTTACAAAACTACCGACCACTACCACTTGCGGTAAGAACTTAAAAGATAATATTGCACTAAATTTAAAGGTAAAGAGTAGTACCAGACTGCGCAATTCAATTTAAGGTTGACTCAAAAACCTACACCGGCAGGATAATATCTCGGTGGCAAGAAGGCGTAGACGCTATTAAGTAATTAGCTGATAGAAACTAACAGTGTGCGTTCACAGTAGCGAAATCATGCTCTGTATAACCTTTTCGCTCCAACAGTTTAAATATTGTCGTTCACCCTGACTCACTTACATCCTGGTCAGGAAATGCAAAGGGTATAAGAGAATTAAGGAAAATCTCACAAAATAAAATAAATTAAAAAAACTGAAAGTTTTCAGATTTTATATTACACCCAAAGGGGCTTTTCCCCCCTTCATTAGCACATATATACACGTTTCGAGAGCATTTGGGCTAACTCAACTTTGGGCTAAAAATATTTAAAAACAGCATATCTTTTGAGTTTTTGATAGACAGTCTCACGTGCTGGAGAGAAAAATATTTGATTCTGTACAGTATGTTGCCACTGCTCGCTTTGAAATCGTTGAGTTTCTTAATAAAAAATTCACAAAAATTTAAAAATATGAAATAGATAATAAAACAAATTCGAAATTCAAGATTCGTGCTTCCAGATGCCCATATTCGGGTAGAGGACTATGTTATTCAGAATTTGATCGCTCTAGGTGTCGTTGTTTTTTCACATTGAGAGAAACATACTTATATTCATGCCGATTTTTCATTATATAATTTCTGTAAATGTAACACAAGCCGATGATATATTTGGTGGCAACAATTTGTAAAGTGATACAGCCGTTTATAGCAATTCAACCCGAAATGCTGTTTCGAGACTAATAACCCTTTTGGGCTAATTAGTCAAAATAAATAAAACCCTATAAGAAAAATAAAGTGTATTAATTGAAATTTGCAATTAAATCTTACACTTGCAGACCCGTAGAAATGAAAACCGAGGAAAAAACACCAAAAGTAGCATTTCGATTGACCTTACAAATAGTAACTTAAGAGTAAGTTTACAAGTAAAGGGAGTATTTTTTAAAGTAGCATAAATGATGTAGCTAGTAATTCTCAGCCTTTAACAAATTACTAGCATAAATGATGTAGCTAGTAATTTGTTAAAGGCTGAGAGTTATTTTATGTGGGAAAAAGGCTGAGGATATGTTTGAAGTAAGTCATAGAGTTAATAGAATTAAACATAAAACTGCAAAATTTCTCCCACAATTGCTGTAAAAATTGCGATAGCATTTAAGACTATTAACTATTCGACAATATAAATAAGCTTGTTACTCGACGCTTTAAAGTTTATTGATGAGCATAAATGCAAAATATCTGATCTAACATTCTAATTTTTTATGATCCGATTTAATAAAAATCTATTAATAAGTATGGGGAATTTTGTTGAATCATTTATTTTCGAATATTAAGAAACTTAATAAGCAACTATATAATGCTGTATTTCCAAATTGCGCCCATGCTCTCTAAAATAACGCACCAGAATTATTTTCTACTGTTTCCCACGGTTCTATTGTTAAAGCACTGTTTGTGAAACGTCGCGTGTTTGCATATTCAAACATTAGGCTAGCATTTCTAATGAACTCACAGCGCCCTCTGGCAAATTGATGACACTCGTTATTAGAAGTCATGAAAGTTATTATAAGCTGTAGTGGTTTATTACCTCGTTATTATAGTATCTGATATCGATTAATATAACACTGTCTATTGAATCCTAAACGTGAATTTGCGTCACGTGGATTGTGACTCAGGGGAAATGCATTGCTTTCTAATATATTTTGTGAATATGCAATAACATGATTTATTTGATGTCCCTATTTCAAGAGGTCTATCTAGATATTTGTTTCATGGGGTTCATGTTCCTTGGGGGCATACTCCTGTCTATTTATTATTTTCATCACGAGACAAGAAAGCTTTGCAGATCCAGAGTAAGAATTCAGCAATTTTTATATTAGATATTTACATTTCTGACCGATTCAATAGCGTATGCTACATTTGTTTAATTATTTAATTGCAATGTATTTGGTAACATCATATGATAAAATGCGTTCATCCGTAAGCTATAGAAATATAGTTTTCAAATATATTTTAATTAGAAAAAATATACAAATTACAAAATTATAAATTTATTAAAATTTAAATAAATTATCCGAGGCGCAGTATATTAGCTTTGCTCAAAAATTACAGTAAATCGAGATTAAACTTTATTAAAAAATGTGAAATGTACTATTTAGAATTCGGCAAAATTCCGCGTCGATTTCAACGGTGATCAACACATGCCTCTGTTCTTCAGAGGGAAAAAAGTTTCTTTCTTTTGCGTAGTAATAAACTATGATTGCTTGCTTTCCTACTTACGAATTTTATTTACATCGTCGCGTTTCACTTCCAGTTGAAGTTTAGAATGATGTTTTAATTTAAAATTGTAAAAATCTAATTTAAGTGATTTTTGGCGTTATTCCAAAACATTTAGTGCAATTATGAAAATTTTTTTATAAAAGAAACATACTTTTTTAAAAAATATGGAAGGTTTAGTTAATCATGGCCAAGCATTTAAGAGATAAATGCTTTGAAATTTAAGCGAAAAGCGTACGACTTTGTAAAGAAACGTAGTTTGTTTTCACACGCCTGGTTTGGAAAAGAGGGGGAAAAAAACAGAAATTTCCAACTGACAAATCCGTTCTTTTCCGTGGAAAATAAATTTGGGATATATTACTAGTACTGAGCAGCCTTATCTGTGAGACCAACGATCATTTTGAAATGCGACACATTTTGTCAATTTGCAGTTGAATTAGTTTATTTTCTAATTAAAAAAGCAATAATTTGTCATTGATTTATCAGTGATACATTTTGCAAATGTGTATGAAAGGTGATTTGTGTTTTAAAATGCAATTAAAGGGCTATAAAAATGTAGAATATGTTCACTGAGCCAAGCTGCAAAATTTCGCTAAATGTAGTTCAAATTTTTAATGACTTTGCCTTAATAGACTACTTTTGAATTTCGTAATGGAACGTAAATATTGATTTCACATTTAGCGCATAAAAACTGAAAAGCTGCCTAATGATCGTTTGGCGTAACAAATAACTATTCAGCTTATTCCGAAACCGTAAATTAGAAAACTAATATTAAAAATTAAATTTCCAACTTTTCAAGAAACATTTATGAAGGTAATAGAAAAATGGATATATATATAGTCGCTCCTAACTGCGATTGCGGTTATGTTATCATTCAGATATCGTTATCGGTTTGTTAGAGGCTTGCCGTTTGTATACGAAAATATGGTAAGTACATTCCTCATAGTGATAAAGCATTGAGTTAATGTAATCAAACTACTGTAGAACAAATATTTTAAACTAAAATAAAATAGCCAAATAAAAGATAAATTCACCAAACAAGGTCAAAATACTGTATATTATAAAAATTGCCAAGTGACAAATAAAAGTGGCCAAGAGAGGTGTTAAATCGCAGAATAGCTTCGTCTCGATTTGAGTCAATCATTTAAAATTAGGCAAATCATTTAAAATTAGCTAATTTGATGCAGTTTTTCATTCGAAAATAAATACTCTGAAAATATCTTCAGCAAAGATTGCATTTTTGCTTAATTTAAAATTTTACATTATATTGTTCTCTTCCAACCAGGGATGTCTTCCGAATATTAGGATTAGGTATACAGCATCGGATAAATAGCTTCCAGAAACGTTATGAACAGTTCATAATCTTTTGCATTGAAGTCATTATGAACAGTTGATAAAAAAGTTTTTGCAGTTTTCTAATTAAAATCCTGTGAATCGATCTATTATGATCTTTATATATGTTTCTTGTTGTGTTTATATTAAAATTAGTTAAATTCTATTGTTATTTTGAAGGATATTTTTCCTCATCATTTAATGCTATCATTCGGTTAATGTTATGAAAATTATCGTGGACAAACGTGATCACATTAAGCCATGCCTACTGTATGCCTAGCATATAACTTCAAATTTGTAAAGTACAGAGAAAATATTGTTACGGATTTGGTATTTAAATAGCTTATGTTAGTTGAATTGTAAATTAAATGGTTTTATTTCCTGCGCAATGCAGCGATTGATGAATATTAAAAGAAAGCTAAGCCGGAAAATTGAAAATACAAGAGCGCGTGCATGTAACATTTAATAAATATCTCTTTTTGATTTCGAGAAAGTACTAGAAAATTCTCGCGCGCGATTTTAAAATCTTATAAAAGGAGGAAAACCTCTCAGTTCGTTGTAGTTACTTAGTTTGTTGTTGTTTAGAAAACTGCTCTTGTTGACTGTAGCGAATTCACGGATTAGCTTTCTTTAGCGGTTTTGAATTAAGTTCTCTTGAACGTTTGAGTAGTTAAAAGATAACTACTGTGAGATATTGTAATACTGCACGAGTATTTTAGGAAATTTAAGCATATTTGTTGTGATAATAATAAATTTTTGTTCATTTTTCCTCGGACTTGTGCATTCATTTCGTAACGAACCCGGGTGCTACTTTAGTAGACGGTTGCACGGATTTTTGGCGATTTACGTTGGCGCAATTGTAGGCGCGATTTTTACAATCGTCAGCCATCTTGAAAAACGCTGTTTTTACGCATAGTAAAGTATTCGAAATTAAAAAAAAAAATAAATAAATATCGTTAAAAATAATGGATTAATTTTTTGTTGAAAATGTCGTTTTTTAAGATGGCAGGCAAGTGTGAATAAATACTAAAGTAAGGCTATTATTACTTTCATATAGCAAAAAAGAGAATAAAAACACCGCTATGAAAACATTGTGCCAACGTTTAATTACTCGTAGATTAAAATATTACTGAAATTGAATATCGAATTAAAAACCATCCTACCAACATTTAAAAGAATTAGAATATTATTAAATTCAAATACTTTAAAATACGTTATATAAAATATAATTAACATTAAAACATATGTGACAATAATTATCTCAGCAATTTTTGAAAATAGTGTATTAATTTTTTAACAAAAAGTATACAATTATAAAATAAAAGAAAAATATGTACTTACATTTTTTTGAGTAAGTTTAACCTCTTGTTTATTGATAAGTACCTACAAAAATCGAAATCATAATTGATTCGGCTCTTTTAACCATCTTCATCTGTTATCCACATATCTCGCACTTCATTGGAAGAAGCAATTAGCGAGGTTTCCTCCGAAAAATTTAAAATACATTTTCCTCTGACGCTATTAACAATTTATAATAAATCTTTGATTAGGAAAGACAGGTTTGCCAAAATAAGGTCTCAAAGGGCAATTTTTTTATTCCAATACCAATAATTCTTGGTAATTACCAATAACAACATTCACCTTCGAAACGGAGATATCCATTCCATTTGAAATCTGAAGAACTCGAAGAGATGAATAATAAAATTTTAAAATGGCGCGGTAATGCACAAATATTCAGTAACCAATCAGGGAGCTGATTACATCACGCATAGAATTAAAATTATTTAAATAATCATTCATAACAAAATCATTTTTAAAAAAAATGCAAAATTAAATCGTATTTTAAAATTTAACAGCCATAAATAATGTTTAAAACATTAGATTAAATTTATAGATATTAATAAAACCAATTACTTTTTAAGTAAGGTGACGTCATTGATTACATCATCCACAACATAAAATTACATAAATATTAAAACAACAAAATTTTTCTTTCAAATAAAAATGTAAATTAAATTGATTTTTAATATTTAGAAGCCATAAATAATATTTAAAACACGGAAGTTATGCATAATAAAACGCATTATTTTTTTAATAAAATGACAACAAAGTATCGGTTACCATAAATAACTTATCCAGCAATGGATTTACCATAAGTTGTATTACTCGCCAAAAGAAAAATCGCCAAAATCCGTGCAACCGTCTACCAAAGTAGCACCCGAACCCGTACGCACGCAACAATTTTTGGTATCAGGTGTGGGGTTTGAATGCCAATTATTAGAGCGATGGAGGACCAATTGAGGCAGCGATGCTACTTTGGTAGACGGTTGCACGGATTTTTGGTGATTTACTTTGGCGCAGTTTTTACAATCGTCAGCCATCTTGAAAAACGCCGTTTTTACGTTATTTTCCGAAAATTAATAAATATATTTACGTATATTTATTAATTTATTTATTATTAAGTATTCGAAACTTTAAAAAAATAAATATCGTTAAAAATGATGGATTAGTTTTTTTGCTAAAAACGTTGTTTTTTAAGATGGCAAGAAATGTAAATAAATACATTTACTACGAGTATAAAAAAGTAAAGAAAGGTTAAATTATTACTTTCATATAGCACAGAAATAGAATAAAAATACCGCTATAAAACATTGCGCCAACGTTAAATTGGATTAAAATATTACGTAAATTGAATATCGAATTAAATACCATCATTAAACGTTTAAAAGAATTAAAATATTACTTAAATTAAATACTTTAAAATAAGTAAATAAGAACACTTCGTACAGTAGAGCTAAAATGACAGCAATTAGTTTATTTGCCGGTAAAAAGGGAGGCAAAAAATGTCGGTAAAAAATGCCTAATAATTTTCTTACCGTTACAGCGGTTCATTTCTTCCAACATGACCACAATATCATATACGGCCTGTTCCTCAGAATCGGCTCTTCTAACGATCTTCGTCTGTGATATACATTTTCGTCGCACTTCATTGAAGAAGCAAGTTAGCGAAGGTTCCTCCTTTAAAAATTTAAAATAAATTTCCTCTAACCCTTGTAAGAATTTAGAAATAAATCTTTGATTAGGAAAGCCAGGCTGGCCAAAATAAGGTCTCAAAGGACAATTTTTTTTATTCCGATACCAATAATTCTTGGTACTTATCAAAAACAACATTCATCTTTGAAGGAGACATTTTTGAAGGAATTCGAAGATATGAATTAAATTTTAAAATGGCGCGGTAATGTAT